GAAACGCACAATCTTTTGTAACTACTGATCTTTTTTGCCATCACCTGATTGACTATTTAGACAAGATACAGATAGAAAACTAAAAATGAGAAAAGGACGAGTTACAGTCTGAATCATTTGAAGTGGCTGTTCAGGCAATAAAACTGCCAACAAGTGACCGCCCTTATTTACACCTACGTGGAATTGTAATATTAAACAAGCTTCGTATTTTACCAGTTGTAACCTGTCCGTTTCGCTGAGCTTATCTGTTTCCATCCCTTCAAAAGTTGAATTTTTTAAAATGCCAAAATACGTGTTTGAATTGTAATTGTATCGTAGAGCATTAAGACCAAAATTTCAAGTAAGTCTGTCCACAATAAAAATGTTCCATATATACTTTGCTGCTCCTTTTCACCCCCTATAGGATTCAATATCTAAATAATCTTCCGAATTTGTTTGAATAGTTTGAGAACTATTACCAGGAGTGTTTTTAAATATTGCAAAATAGAATAATGAACTATCAGGCACTTGAGCAAAATACCACCATTAAACTTAATGGTTTTGTTGAACATCTTCTGCGAAGATAGACTCAATAGCGGTGAATGCACTCGGGACATTTCACCTCTTAAATAATCACTATAAGAGCATTTGAACAGTGCCTTGACGTTGGGGTGACTTCCAATTATGCTATAGTTCAAACGGTGGTTTGATCATGTTGTTGGTTGGGTGTAATTTACCATTATGTTTCAACATGTTTTTCAAAAATCATATTTTGTTGTCTATAAGGTAATTTCTAACCATTCATCAGAAAATTCATCCAATTTTTCACGCGTTTTCTACTTTTTTTAGAGGAATATATTATGCTATTACGATGCACATGCTTACTTTCGAATTGTTTTTAATATTTAACTAGTGACCCGCCCCAGCTTCGCACGGGTGCAATGCTGATACTAAATATATTTTTGCTTTGTTTAGATTATTATCGAAAAGGGGATATATTCAAAAAATACCTCCTGAACATACTAAATATACTAGAGGATGTCTTTATATACAACATTCACAATTTTTTTGTCATTAGAAAATACGGTACCGCCGCAACCGCTATTTCCCTGCATTTTAAATCTGTAATATCTTCGAAAATATTCATTTAAATTACATGTTGTAAAGGGCCATATTGATCTATATTAAATGCACATTGTGTTTAAGGTGTTTAATTGGATAAGAATTAATGCTGTATTGCCTACAATCGCTTCGTAAATAAGTCATTGTTTCTCATAAAAAGTAAAGGATAAAAATGGTTATTGTGTGTTATCCCTAAGAAATAGACATATACCATCACGGACTTTTTTGTAGACACTTTTAAGATGTACAATATTGTTAAAGTGATAATTGCAGCCACTTATTAAAATAGAAATAAATATACACATACGTACATATTCATAGACAGGGGGTGAAATGTTCTAAGGGGTAGAAAGTCGCTGGTGTAAAGTGTCTTAACATCTTATCCCTTAGCATTATCACTAAATAAAGTTACATACATACATGATCCAGATTGTAGGTTCACCTTTAGTAAACAAAAAGAAGAGCGTAACTGTTCGTTCGTGTTGTCTTTTCCTATCGTAACTTGATGATTTTAAGCAATCGAACAAAAGCATTCTTCACTTAATACATTTTGTTAAATCGAAGATGGAAAATTGTTCAGTTAATAATTTTTAGTTGCTTCCTTTCTAGTTAGTTAAATAATGTTCACGAAGAAACAATCCTTAATATTGGTATAATTTGTAGATGGAATCCTGTATAACTTGGGTAACTTTAACCGATATTTTCCATTCAAACGTGTTCATTGATTAAAAAGTTAAGAAAAAAGTGACGTTTAGGTTACCTACAAAGCTTGATCAATATTATCAATCTAATAAAATTTAATGATTGAATCTTAATTTTGAGTACTCTGTAACGTCAAATGCAATTGTCGTAAATAAAAATGCAATGTTGCAATCAGTTTCAAGAAAAAGCAAATACGAAGGGTACTTATATAGATACATATATGTAAGTGTACATTCGATTCTTACAAGCAAGCACAACTACCCTCGAGAAAATAACGGAACGTGGCGTGATGGCAACGAGGATAACGAAACACATCAGCTTTCAATTCGTGTTTCGATTACGAACCAAAGATTAGACGTTGAACTGAAATTCTGGATTCAGACTTGTGTTACCGAGTAGTAAATTCCAAGTTACTATTACTTATTATTGTGTCTGCGAGATCGAAAATTATTTCACATCCGGACACGTAGCAAACTAGAAGCACTTAATCATTTATTAAATTTCCTGCTAATTAAGAGAAATGACGCAGGTACCAATTTAATTTCTCAAAAATAAATCGCTGTGTTCTTATTCGCATTATAAAGGTATTAAGTAACTTTAATCATTAATTTATGGATTAAGAAATTTTTACGGTGCAGATTAATTAGAATTAAGTAATTTTAAATGAAGTTACGGTAACTTAATGTTGAAGAACAAGCCTGTCTCCCAAAATACGGAAATTAAAGTTAAACAAGGAAGTAATTTGAGGTGACATAATAGGTTTTTTTTAACAACTGATAGGTATACTTTATAGTAGCTCTCAACAGGTAAAACACCACTCTAGGATTTGAAAAAAATTAATTTATTTTTGTTTGTACAGTACTTTAGGGTCATAAAAACAATATCCAGTTGCTCGTAACGTAAAATCTCAGATAAATACGTAAAATAGTAAGTCCCATGCAGCCGTGTGAGATGAAAAATAATGTGATCCCTTCTTCCTTCTTTGTCATTATTTCTGATTGACCGATAACGGTAACTACAAAACTAATAAGTTCCTGTCGAAACCGTTAATCGCTAAACGAGATGTTGATATCATTGGATCTTATCAGCGTTTCGTAAAGAGTTCTGACAGAATACAGACTCATTTTACTCACTTAAGACTGCGTTTTATGAATTACTACAGACGGCATAGTAAACGCCAAGACCATCTGTAGAATACTAGAATTCAAAAAAAGTCAATAAGGATTATCAACTTGTCGAACTGAATCCACACCTTAGCTACCCTTACGTGATGGGCACGTAAACAAACTGAACAAGGATAACGTGGGTAGAAAAGGTTAGAACTGAAGGGGTATTACAAAGAATAGCAGAACAGAGGTGGAAGTCAATAAGAAATAGGTGAAATAGGTTAGTAGGACACTTTTTTAGGCATGAAGGTCTAGTCAGAGATATATTAGAGGCAGAAACAGGAGTTAGGAGGGGTAGAGGCAGACCTAGGTTAGATTACCGTTCGCCAATAGTTAAGGGTGTGGGCTGTTCTAGTTTTAGGGAAATGCAAAGATTAGCTCAGGAAAGGAAGAGTGTCCAACCAGTGTTAGGACTGACGACCTTATGATGATGATGATGATGTAAGACTTCTTATACTTTACTAGAAATCCACTTTCCCATCAAGAAGCTTTAGCGAAACGTTGGGAAGAAATTCAAATCGACGACGGCCTTTAGACCTGAATAAGGGCAGCATCACTTCTTTACCACCCCCTAAGTTTTGAGTTAGCTGTTGCTAACTTTCGGAGTCTTGTCCTATAGTCCGTTCGTTCCTCCCTAAGGACTCCCCTCTTACGATTAAACCTATGGTCCGTCTCCTTAAGTTATCTAATTTGCGTTAGAATTTCATTAAGTTTCATCGGATCGTCAAAAGTTTCGATCAAAGTCTTATGAAATTTTGAATTACACTATTGAATGTAGACATCTATTTAAGAATGATAACGATGAAACCTTTATTTCTTACAACTTGGCATTAGAAAACACGACAAGATGTAAATCGCAAAGTATTTATTTATTGTAATCCACATTAAAAATATTCTTTTAGATTGAAGAATGATTAATCATTTTTCCACACTGTGTTAGTGAAATAACTATTGTGGTTTACAGGAAATAAGTATCGTATTAGTTATTAACCCCAATGCTTGTTTTCGTGTTTTCTTTTCAACGCATTTTTATTAGCTTCGGAGCTGGCATATTTGTAAACAAATCTAGAAAGTAGATTTCACCCTTCATCCATTTGTCGGATTGTTTCGAAACTTTGCAGACTAATAATCCAAATTTGATGACAAGACGATATTCTGGAGTAAAGATTGTGTTTTTTTAGCGTTACTTATAAATACTAAAACTGTTCGCACTATTTTTGAAGCTGTCAAACTTTTTACAAAGGAAGTAGAAAGCTACAACAACAGTAAAATTATTTAATTATCATTTTAGTATTTTTAATCTCATTTTGTTTTCGTAACGAACTATTTCTTTAAAAAAATGTTTTCTATGGACTTAAGTGTGAGCTTCAAGTACTTTTTGGGAAGGAGGTTTGTCCCACACTGCCCTGTTTAATAGGGTTTAACGACCTAAATCCACAATGAATCATTTCTTACTCCATAGGCATTGTTTTACTATACGTATATAGCCAGTGTTGGATAATAAATAATGTTGATATTATACAGTATCTACATAAGGTACGCTTACAATGTACACAAGTTTATTGACTGTTTTCGCACATTTTGTCTTTATTCTCGGTAATTCCGAAGATATCTAAAACGTCTTGTTTATTAGCAAATAATCGAGCAAAACAAAACTGCGCCCCTCTATTTTTCTTTAAATTCTTCAAGATAAACTTTCCTGATATCTAACGATCGCCATAGTCGAATAGCGTTTTAACGGTTCACATGGTACAATACACAATATAACTTTCTTTATCTTGTCTGATTTAAAAGTTTGTCTAATCGTAAGTTCTTCAATTTCAACAGCATAAACAAGCTGATAGGACTATCCTCTCTATCTGCTGTACAACACTTATTAATTCACACTTTAAATGTTGCTATGAAAGACATTAGACGGTATATTGTTTCGTTTTTTCTTTTTTATTGCAATAAACTTGATGTGCTTTAGTGTGTGACCCATAGAATAGATGTAACAGTCGGAATTAAATGTGGTATCTTTGTGGTTTTCAGAAAAACAAGGAGCTCATGAATGACTTAGTATCATCTTGCAAGTTGAAAAATGGTAAGTCACTTTTCTTTTACTTTTCAATTAGTGGCAGTCGACTAGAACTATATACTAATTTTAAAACACATCAGTACTGTTTAAACTGTTATTATTTTTTTGTATATGAACGACAAGAGTCTCCTTTTATAACGTAGAGAGACACTTTTCAATCGAATTATGTTTTTCCTTCGGTGAGAATTATCTCTGTGCCTGGGTCCATACTTTATAACACATTAAAAACAGCAATTTACGAAAATGAAACTGGAATTATTAGTTAAATGATACTTTGGGTTCCTACACTCTTAAACTGAGTAACGTATACATAGGTCCCTACCACATAAGTACTACTGTTATTTGTTTTGCATTGTCACAAAGTCAACTCTAAATTGGTAGCCATTGTTTTAAAAAGAAAAACAATAGCACTCCATAACTGAATTCTTCTCATAAAAACTGAAATTCGTTTTCAGTTGTCAACGCTTTTGGTAGTTATAATGATTAACGGTCTGCTTTACGAAAAGAAACATTACAAACGTTATTTATTTCCTAATATGTCTTGTCTATGGAACGGAGAAAACATATAAAGGTTAACAGAACCCACTTACTAATTGTAAGTCTTCAGCGCTTAATGCCGATCTAGGAATTTAATTTTTAGTATGCATAGTAACTTACACATTACTACAAGGGAAAATAACATGCGATTTAAACAAACAGTTAATAGAAACTTATTTTTATATATTACATATTTGAATACATACTGAGAAAACAATTTTTGGTATTAAATAACTTTGTTTTGGATGTTTATTTAACATTTGCAGGTATATTTAGAACGAAAAAAAACAATTCTGCTTTCTGTTTTTGAGAACGTTTTTGTTGTAATTATGTACCTATAACACTGATTAGTAAGTACATACATATTACGGAGAATATAATCCAATTTCATTTTAATCCTGGAAAATGCCGAATGGCGTGTTTACATTTCTGTTATAAAAACAACTTTCGTTTTATATACATAACCATCCAATCTTTTAAACAGCTCTAATTTGTAAAGGTTGTTATCAGGAAATAGAAACTTCCGCTAGCCGCCAGCGCTGCGAAACATAATGGCTGAGAGCTTTTAGAGAAGAATCGTTTAGGTTTTATTGTAATTTTCTTTAGTCCGGTGAGTATATAGGTAGAATTGGTGAAGGAATTATTAAAAATTATCTAATCAAGTATTGATGTTCAATTAAAGTTTACAAAGACTAAACGTATTCAGTGCTCACACAATTTGAACTTCTTTTCCTGTTTGTAGACATTACCAATTAGAATGAAAAATTTCAATGTGCTTTAGAATCAAATTGCCTAAATTTGCTGAAGACACTTGAAATATTTGATGAAATTATATCGAGAGTGCAATGTGCCAGGGAGAACTTTCTTGGACACCTTGTAAATTGTAAATACCTAAGCCTCTAATTGATACTTTTTTTTTATAATTCTTCTATACACAAGTTTTTATGTTTACCGACACAATAAATGTCTTTAATTCTGAAATTCTGTCATACATACTTATGCTTATCATGACTTTCAAAGAAGGTACAGGCCTGACGCTGGAAGCTGGCGGAAATTTTATAATGGCGTGGATGCGCGGTGGCAAAAGTTTTAGGTATAAAGATTACAGCCCTCATTCTTCAGTATTCCTATCAGGGGCGTAGATTAAATCTTTAAAAGCAGGGATCAGTGAGTAAGTAATGGACATACAAACAGAAGAACTAATTGTTGATGTTGGTGACAGTGATAGAGATTCCCATGATGACAGTGAATGTGAAAACTAACTATAAAACAAAGACAATACGTTTATTTTTTCTTTTTGATAAGTCATGTTTTTACATTATTTTCTAGTACGCTACTGTCCTATCTGTATTAATACTGTAATTTACGCCTATTGAAAGCTTATTTGTGTATCGGTTCCAAGTGACTTACCCAAATAGGTCATAAATGGGCAAGTACCCGCGCGACCGCTCGCCAGCTTCCTTCGTCAGACCTGTAGTGTCAACTGTAATTGTGAGAGTTAAGAAAATTCGAAAACTTACCTTCCACCAATGCAGAAATTGACCCTTCCTCCAACGCATAAATTGACCTTTTAGTGAACAAAAAGAATACGAAGTACTTGAAAGAAGTAAAAAATATCGAAAAAAATTTGTTTTTCTCTTTATTTCAACCGTTACTAGGAAGACATTCTTGTAGATTCCTTTTTTCAAACAATGGTAAAGTCCCTTTTTTTACATTTAGTGTTAAAATCTAATAAAGCAAACTATAAATTTGAAATACTAAAAATGTTTTATTCCTAGAAAACAAGATATGAAAGTTGTTTTAAATAGTTTAACTCATAAATCCATCAAAAGTAATAATTTTTCGTTGTCTTGCATATTTGGTCTTGGTTTTCGTCTTGTCCAGTTCATTCGGTCTTGGTTTTAGTTTTGGTCTTGTTGGTTCGGTCTTGGTTTTCGCCTTGCTAGTATACAGACTTAACCTTGCATTTTCGCAAGACCAAGACTAACACTGCAAAACGGAGACCAATTTTGCTCATCACTAATTTCAAATTCTTGATCAATTAAAATGCAGCACACCGCTCTTATTCTGCCCTTAGACTGTCTAACTTCCACTATATAAGCTTCTAATAAGTAGATTAAACACTACGAGTATTAATTTTTTCCAATAATGTCTAATGGTGAAGTTTCATTCGTGCATGACACCATGAGAACATATTTTTGGAATTTAAATTTAGGAACATGGTGAGAGTGAACCCAAAGCCTTGCAAATCCGGAGAGCATTGTACGGCGATTGAATTTTAGACCATGCGCACTTTACGACAAACTTACATCGAAATGTTGAAGCATTGTAAGTTAACATAAAATTGAAATTTACGATAGTGCTCTAGACTTTAAAGTGCTCACAATGGTTTTCATCATGTCTGTAAACTTTTCAACATGAGCGCTCTGTGAAATCAAACGAAGGAACAATATTCAGATGTGAGAAAAATAAACGCCAACGATTGTCTACAAACTATTTTGGTTATCAGCATCAACATCATCTGAGACTCTTACCTAGTATCTGTTTTTAATGTCATTCATTGTTAAAACCAGTCCGAAAGAACATCATTGATCGTACTACTGCTTTTTACGTAGTTCATTGTCTCTTTCTTAATTATTAATGAGTTATTGTCAGTACTTTACATAGAAAAGTCCTGACCTAGTATTCTACCCGAGATAAAAATGTTCAGTCTCTCAGAGTCTCTGAAAGCGAGACACGAGTCTCCGTCTTTCATCGAGTCTCTCTGGTGTCGCTGAAAGAGACTCTCGAGAGACTGTCAAAAAAACTGTTTAGCGTCTCTGAACGAGAGACTCGAGTCGCTCATAGACAGATCCTCATTTCGTATCCAGTCTCTGAACGAGAGCCTCGAATCTCTGAACGAGACACTCGAATCTCTCAATAAGTGGTGTCTCGATAGACATGATTAAGACTTCAAGTTCAACATATTTCGGAGATCCCAGTCTTTCTACGAGAGACTCGAATCTCTAAATTTTTCCGTTTTATTAATTCAGTCTCTCTGTGAGAGACTCGAATCTCTGAATTAACAATTTTATCGTTCGAGTCTCTCATACAAAGACTGTGAGAGATCCATAAAAACACCTAGGCAATAACTGAGAGACTGTGAAAGACTGAGAAACGCTCTCAGAAACGCTGAAAAACTCTAAAAGACTCTGAGAGACTGGGGAGCGACTGAAAATTTTTGTCTAGGGTACTCTTTAGGTCGGTGCAATGCTCTGTTGTAGTTGCCGGATAAGCAAACAGTAATCAAGTAAAATATTTTAATTAACATACACAGCGTTTCACTTCCTGTTCTGAGCTAGTCCCTGACTGTTTACGAACAATAATTTAAACTAGTCCATTATCTTTACTTCTATTTGTACTTCTATTATGTCGGTAAATTAGCTAGTCCCTCATTTCTCTGATCATTCCGTTTTTACTTTTTCTTATTGGCTTCCATTTGCTCCATTTGTTTTTCTACTGTTTCTAATATCTTCTCATTTCTAACCTTTCCTATCTATGGAATATTTATCATCAGTAATCATACAAAGTCATGTTCCAAAAATACACAATTTCAAAAATTTTATTTCATTAAATTTACATAAATTTATTTCTGGTTAACTTTCTGTTGGAAGTAATATTTTCTCAAAGTGAATTTGAAAATCACGCCTCCGCAATTTATGGAAACAGAAATCTCCATTTATATTCGTAATAAAAAAGAAGAACGAATTATGACATCTTTCAATACATTACAGGTAAAAATTTACATCTCTAAGCGAGGCAAACAAACCAAATAGGGGTTGGTGTGTTTTGCGTCACGTTATTATGTATTTTTAGCCCAAATTATGTACAGATATTTTTTCCTTTATGTTCACATTCGTTTCTGGCATATGTACACACGTTTAAACATAAACGTACAAAGAGAATTGAATCAACATTTGTAATTTGCATATCGCGTGTACCTATAGAATATGAGTATTTATTTCGTTTTCGACGACTATTCAATCGAAAATGTGATTATTACCATTATTTCTGGTTTTGTTCCGGTGTTAAATCTTGATTGGTATTATTTATTAAAACGTACTAAACAACGATTAGGTACTTCAAAGGTAGCTAGGTATTTTGTTTTGTTATTCAAGCAAACGTTATACTAAAAACCAATTAAATTATTAAATTACAAAATTAAAGCGACCGCATGATTATCTAGAAAATGTTTATTCCTACGTAACAGCGCATTCTTAATAATGACTAACGTATGAATTTTATATCAGGGGAAAGTAGAATAATTAACTGATTCTGTATCGATTTGTATAACAATAAAAGCGATAAATACGTTTAATTGGTTATCGCTAATATTACCTAACAAATTAATCCTTCAGAAAAGCTGCTACATGTAAGACAATGGAAATGATTTCTAATGAAAAATTCTGAGCATTCCACGAAAATTTGTC